CACACACACACACACACACACCCACCACCCCCCCCCCCCCCACGGCTGCAGAAACAAAATAAACCAGGCTCACTAGTTCTGAATGAGAGATTCTCATTCAAAAGATAAGCGGCCTGCTGTTCTCTGCCGTCTCCCTTCCCACCAGCAAGCACTAAATCACCTGCACAGGGCAACAGACGCATCTGACAGCAGGCACATGGGAGAAAATCATTGATGCCCTGACCCTGCATGGGATGTGCGGCTCCGACTGCAGGATTGGGGCCTTTGTTCACTGTCTCTTTGTCAGTGATTGAAAATTCTTTCCTGTTTTCATTGAGAATGTTGACGTTTATAGCAGGAGATAGTGGATTCCCCTCTATACAATATTTCCTTAATGTATATTTCCATCTGCAGGCAAGAATAAGGAGGGGAGGGATAGTTCAGTGATTTGAACATTGGCCTGCTAAACCCAGGATTGTGAGTTCAGTTCTTGAGGGGGCCACTTAGGGATCTAGAGCAAAAATCAGTACTTGGTCCTGCTAGTGAAGGCAGGGGGCTGGACTTAATGACCTTTCAGGGTCCCTTCCAGTTCTATGAGATAGGTATATCTCCATGTATTATATTATTAATTGGTTTACAATGTTTTTGTGCCTATTGTTACAGGGGTGTTCCCCTTTAAATATGATATGACAACAAAGCAACTGACAACCACTGTAACTAACTGGAGTAGCTAAGGGCCTTCCCTCCCCAGACAGGGCTTCCCTTTGATTGGTGGCATAGGACATCAATCTTCTGTGATCTGAAATGTCCCTCTGCCCCGGAATGCTGCTGGCAGTCCATGAGATGTGTACACACACTGGCCCTGGGGCACTGGCTGCAGGGAGCCAGGCTGAAAGGAGAAAGGAACAGGCAAGGCACTAGGAAAAACTTAACTGGATGCAAACTCCTGGGTTTGCACTTTCTCTCTGTGACTTTGTGACTGCTGCTTCCTGATCCACCTAGTGCTACAGAGAGAAACAGCTGGGAGAAGGGGCAGGGGAAAGAACAGCCCTGGGGGCAAGCGGCTCTGGGGTTGCTGAACCCTCGCTTGATGTTTCCTACCCAACTGGAGGTGCCAGGGCAAGTTTATCCTTTCCTTTGAAGACTGCAGTGAGTTCCTGAGTGTGGGTTTTGCTCCCTTCATGGTATGTATGTCTACATGCCCTAATGCAATCACCTAGCTACATTGGTAATCTGAGACCCGGGCAGCACTTTTGTGGGCCCCCGGCTGCAGCCAGGATGGGATAATGAATAAGCTGGAGAGAGATCTGGAAGAAATGCAGAAGAAAGGAGCGGGAAGTGACCACTGTCTAGGTCGTGTTTGCTCCCATGTCCTTTCCAAGGAGGAAGATCACTGGAGCTCCTGGTAGCAGTTCTGTCCTTTCAGCCACCTGCCTGGATGAAGCTTTGCAGCTGCCTGACTTGACATCTCTGGTGGCTCCCTTAGACCCTGGCTTCTTGGGACGTTTGCTCCTGGTCTTGTTCCCGCTGAGGACGCTGCTGAAATGTGCAGTTCCTTCCCCGTGCTGCTTTCCCCAGACCCCCAGCAGGTGCTGCAGGCCGTGCAGGGCCTAGTGGCTGGTCTGCACAAGGACAAAGGAGGCATGCTGGAGGTTTTCTTGGGAGACGCTGAGTGCGAAGAGTATCTGGGGGCTCTTTGTAGTCTCCTGGCTGCTCCCAAAGTGAGGTGAGTGAGGGAGTGTGGGACTAGTCCCCATGTACAGCGCCGTGGGGATACCCACGTGACACGGTGTGCTTTTCTGAGACTCCCCTGCTCTCACACACCGTCCACTTCTATGACGGCTGCTTCCAACGAGAGATGGACCCATACTGCACCCTCCTAGCCTAGCACAGCCAGATCCACCCTGCCTCATTCCATGTGGTCCATGAACAGATGCGTTGACTGAGGCAGGGCAGTTCAGATGCCCTGACCGAGGGACCATCCGAGGCAGGACATAGTGGTCTTCGGATCTGTGGGGTTTAGATTAGATGACCCTTGCGGTCCCTTCTAACCCTATGGTTCTATGATTCTCTCCAGCACGTGATGGGAATTCATTGTTTTATCATTTTCCTTTAAAAAATAAAACAGGAACATTCCACCCACAAAAAAGTCCGTAAAGGGATGTTAAAGTGGCAGAGCGAAGTGCTAAAACATCAGGAAAGGCCAAAGATCAGTTTGTCCTGGTGACCTTAACTCTGCCCCTACGGTGTCTACATTCCAGTTCGGTCTTTAACCAGATGGACCGATACCATTTTCGACAGGCCCTTTGCCTCATTCAGCTCATGAGATCACTTTAAATCCAGGGGACTTTAAAGCTGATACAGTTGGACTCTGTTTATTGGCCTGGTGGGGTTTGCTACATTTTCCAGCTCCTCTCTGCAACCACTAAGAGACTTTTTTCCCCCCACATGACAGTTGCCAGGCTCACCTACTCACATGACTCCAGGAGCTGGGGCTGTAAGAAGAAAACACTAACCATTGGGACGTTTGCTCCTGGTCTTGTTCCCGCTGAGGACGCTGCTGAAATGTGCAGTTCCTTCCCCGTGCTGCTTTCCCCAGACCCCCAGCAGGGGATGTTTCCTACCCAACTGGGGTCCATAGTGAATAAGGCAGGGGACTGGCTCTCCATAGACGTATATGTAGTTACTGGAGTGTAAGTCTAGAGTAAACCCACATACCTGCCAGTGTGTGGAGAGCATGTTGGTACTTGCACTGGGCGGGACAGAGGATGTGGCGTGGAAGACACGGGGTGGGCGGTTAAACAGGACATTGAGCAGCTGCCCTGTTCTCTGAGCAGTCATGTCTAAGCCTGGAGCCCCACAGCCAAAGCCCATAGGAATCGAGGGAAAGTTTCCCCCCGATCGCACTGAGCCTTGGCTCAGCCCCTAAATGAAGCCTAGGATCTGGGCCCCACGCTCCTGCGCTCTAATCCCCAGACCCTGTGTCCTACAGAGACTGGACAATGGGTGCCTCCTGCTCTGGTGTTTGCTCTTGCAGGGTTGTGACCAACCCCCTTAACAGGCCCTGGGAAGATAAATGGCTCCCATTCGGAGGGCAGCGTACAGACACGTTTAGGCTGTTACACCCAGTGCACAGCTACAAAGGAAGGCAAACAGGCTCGGAGCTTGGCAGGCTCTGCTCCAGGGTGTGACGCTGCCATTCAAACCGAGGAGATCAGACCCCAGCCAGTCGGTGGGGGCTGGGCCTCTTGGAGCCACGGCCTGTTTCAGTCTCCATGCAGTTGTGATGGCAAAGCCCCAAACAGCTGTCGAACCCTCGTCTCCCTTGAGCCCTGCTGCTCAGTTGCTTGGCACAGCTGCTGCCCGTGCCGGCTGGCACCCTCAGCGCCTGGCACCCTCAGCGCCTGGCACCCTCAGCGCCTGGCTCTGCACTAGCTGGATTCTCCCTGGGCTTTGGGGCTGCTTTGTTCTTCCCAGCCGGGCTGGAAACGCTCACGGCTCCCTCTCCCCACGGCTGATCACTGACAGTCAGGTAGCGGCCTTCAACCTAGCGGCCTTAACCTTACTGGAGGCTGCTGCTGGCCATTTCAGCGGAGGCCAGGCCAGCCGCAGGACAGGAAGAATGACTCCAGGCTGGAGGCATGGGAACGCTGGGCACCACGCTGGCACCGAGGCTAATGACCTGACCTCAGTGTCTGACCCTGCGGCAGCCTGTGTGGGAGCTGGAGCGCAGTGGGGCCGTATCCCATTGGGCGCTCGCAGTGCACCCAAATACCGCGTGGGGCAGCACCCCAGCTGGGGGCGTGCCCCATGTACCAGGTGGCTTAGGCAGCGACGAAACAGCTACTTTCTAACCCATCGCCGGCTCCAGTGCAGCCCTGGCATAAGCAGAGGCAGCTCCCCCTGAAGACAGTGTGGGTTACACCCGCTTGCAACAGGGCTCAACTTGGCCCCATGTGGGTTTTATTCATGCAAAAATCAAACTGTTTTGAGGCTAAAATCCCCGTTCGATTCTGGGCATTATTCATCCCTGAGCAGCGTCCTCCCCATCCCAGTTCTGAGCGCACTGCTGGGGCGTAATGAACAAGGAGTCCGGCTCCTGTGTCTCTTTCCAATGGAAGGGGGCTGTTCCCCCAAACGGGCCATTCCATCACGCCGCACAACACCGGCCTGTCACTCACTCCTTGACCTCCAGCATCAACGCAGCTAGGTCAACGGAAGCCCCCGTAGTGTAGACAAGCCCACGGACCCTGCCCGGGTGGGTGCCCAGAGACGGCTGTGCCTGCAGAGCGGGGCACTCACCACACCGGGGCACTGCCGTACTGCAGGAGTGCATGGTAGGCACCTGGTAAAAATTTACACAAACCTTCACAGACCCTGCCCCCCAAAAAGGTGCCCTGCTCTCCCAGGCATGGGTCTTTCTCATGGTCTCCAGTGCTTAGTATTATTTATGTACAGTATTGGTATTGCGGTAGCACTAGGACCCCCTCTCGTGGATCAGGACCCCACGGTGCTAGGCGCTGTACACACATAGAACACAGACAGGCTCTGCCCCACCGAGTGGCCAATCTAAGTAAGCTGTCCCTGCCTCCCAAGGAGGGTCCAGAAATGGTACCAGGTACTGAAACTTCACAGGTAGAAGAATCATTCATTGCTCTTCCTCCTTCCCTGCCCTGGGTCACTGCCTGTCTCCTTCCTCCAGCCTGTTTGGACGGGCTGTCCTATAGCTTATACGATCTGCAGACTCCTGGACAGCTGAGGTGGGATGGGTATATGGTTCTAATGGGCTTCCTGTCCCCCTCCTGCCTTCCCTGCTAGAAGTCACTGCGTGAGGGTAACAAGCTTCCCAGTTCTCGGTCAGGTGTAGGGCCTGGCACCTCTTTTCATGGTGGCACGCCGCCCGGGCACCACTGCTGGCAGTGGCATTTCGTAAGGAAAGCAATTCTACGCGTGCATGCAAGGCGTGAGCTCGTCTGTACGGTGCATGCGAGGGCAGTGGGAGGATGCCGCTTCGGGCTAGGAACGGTATCGTTCTTGCTGGAGCCCTGCCACCTCTTTCCTGTAGTTTCGGGAACCCATCAGCCTGCTGCAGAAGGTGCAAAGTTCAGGAGCACGCCATGGTAACGGCTGTAACTCAGCGTGGAGGAGCCAGGCACTCAGCACTGAGCCACCCTCCAAGCTGGGTTTCCCTGCCCTCCACCACAGCAACCAGCATCAACCGCTCGCTCAGCGCTGCCTGCCAGCGCCCCGCTCCAGCCAAAGGGAATGGGAATTGCAGGTGGTCAGCACCGCCCAGGGGACCCTGCAGGATTGGGCCCTAACTGCCCTTCTCTCTCCTCTGCCCTGATTTCGAGCTGCATTGCTCAGTTTCACTCCAGTTCTCCCCCCCCCCACACACACACTCCCTAGGAACCTGGTGCCGTGCGTCGCTAGGGCTTCGGCCTCACCACAAGGCCCAGCTGAGAAATGCACCTAGGGTGACCAGACAGCAAATGTGAAAAATAGGGACGGGGGTGGGGGGTAATAGGAGCCCATATAAGAAAAAGACCCCAAAATCAGGACTGTCCCTATAAAATCAGGACATCTGGTCACCCTAAATGCACCCCAAATACCCCGGATTTACCACTGCGGGGATGCTGGGAAATGTAGCTCGAGGAGGCTGCTGGGGCCTCACTTCCCCAGTGCCGGCTGGCAGCGCAGCGCTGAGTTCGGTTGAACGCGGTATAACACACACACACACACACGTTCCTAAAATATTAGGCCAATTTGCTTAAAAGCCTGCAACCAGCTCAACTAAAACCCAAACCTGCAAACGTGAATCACTGCGCTTGGGGCAGGCTGCATCTTGCAATGACAGGCCACGTTGCCCCCAGCCCTTGCACGGTTGCACAAGGAGCCGTTGGTGCAAGGGTCTCATTGCCAGCACTCTGCTCCCAGCTAGCAGTGCCCCGGCTCTCTGCCAGGCGGGTGGGACATGAAACAGCCCCAAGACCTGACTGGCTCTCTCCTGTACCAGGCTGTGCAGCAACGTCGCCTACATCCTGGGCACCATCGCCGAGAAGGAGAGCGGGGCGGCACGCCTGGTGGCACTGGCAGGCTCGGGCTCCGAGGGGCTCCTGGATAGCCTGAGCGCCATGCTGACCTGGGACGACCCAGAGGCTGTGATGAATGCGGCAGGTACCCTGGGCTCCCTGGTAAGGAACGCTCTTTCCCTAGGCAGTAGGCTGGATCCCAGAGCGCTCCAAGGTTTGTGTAGGTGGAATCCCTCCTTGGAGTGTCCTATTGCATGAGGCTCCCGTCCATTAGCAAGCCCATGCCAAGCCCATTCAGGGATTCAGCTTACCACAAAGAAGCTGGCCTGGCTCAGGCCTCACCTATGCCAGCCTCTGCAACATGGGCTGCACCAGCCTGCAGGGCACAGGGCTGGCTTTTGCAACCCCACCACTGGCTCGTAGAGCAGCCTGAGCGCCAGGGTGCATTGAGCTTGTGGCCTCAGACAACGCAGGGGCAGCACCTCAGCACGGGAGAGCCCTGGGGCAGTCCTACCGCCTGGTGCACAGGGTTCCCCTCCCTCCTGCTTTCACAATACCCAGCTCTTACCTTGCACTTCTCATCTGTAGAGCTCAAAGTGCTTTACACAGGACGTCAGGATCATTCTCCCCCATTGTACATGAGGGGAAACTGAGGCACGGATCAAGGAAGTGACTTGCCCAAGGTCACAGTTTGCGTCAGAGTTAGGACTAGAACCCAGGTCGCTCAAGTCCTAGCCTAGTGCTGTATCCAGTAGGCTATGACAGCTGCAGCAGGGAAGGGGAGGCTGTGCCCCAGATAACCTCTCCCCTCCTGAGTGCACACACCCTGACCTTCCATTTGTGGCTATCGGGTATTTCCCCGATTCCCATCTTTTCCCCCATTTTTCCCCCAAGGCGGAAACAGGTCCCAGCCGGCAATGGCTGCTCCAAGCCCCGAAAGCTGATGAGATTATTGAGAAGCTCACGGCGCTGCTGGGCTCAGCTGACGAAGGCACGGCAAGCAACGCTGCCCTAGTGCTGGCCCGAATCACTGGCTCCCAGGAGGGCTGCATGAAACTGCTGGGCCACCCCCGCTCCCAGCACCTCCTGAGACAGCTGATCACTTCCCTGAAGGCAGAGGAAGCAGGTGGGTTGGGATGAGCCAGGGGTCTGTGCCTGGGGTGGAGATAGCGAGGGCTCACGGGGGACCGGAAAGGAGGTGGAGAAAGGCTCAATGAGAACATAAGATTGTATGGATGGGCCAAAGCAGGGGAGAAGAATGAGGGGGGATTTGATAGCAGCCTTCAACTACCTGAAGGGGGGTTCCAAAGAGGATGGAGCTCGGCTGTTCTCAGTGGTGGCAGAGGACAAAACAAGGAGTCATGGTCTCAAGTTGCAGTGGGGGAGGTCCAGGTTGGATATTAGGAAACACTATTTCACTAGGAGGGTGGTGAAGCACTGGAATGTGTTACCTAGGGAGGTGGTGGAGTCTCCTTCCTTGGAGATTTTTAAGGCCTGGCTTGACAAAGCCCTGGCTGGGATGATTTAGTTGGGAATTGGTCCTGCTTTGAGCAGGGGGTTGGACTAGATGACCTCCTGAGGTCCCTTCCAACCCTGAGATTCTATGATTCTATGAGTGTCATGGAGGAAATGGGACAATCTACAGACAAGGAGAAGATCTCTCATTCTCTCTGTCACCATCTGTCCATAGAACTATCTGAGGGTCTGTCTGTCTTGGGGTCTCGGGGATCTGCCTGACTGAGATACAGTTTTTCAGAATAGGTTTTAAAGGCTCCAATTCCTCAAAACCCCCAAGACAGCCGCAAACCAGAAGTCTGAGCTGCTCATTCCAGGCTCAGGCGCACCCCTCTCTGCCAGGGTTGGTCCCTGCCCATGCAAAAGCAGAAAGCAGTTGCCCCATGGCAACATTTTCCCATCTCGGGTCCAGGGATTTGTAAGGGGAGGAGTGAGAAGTGGCTGGGGCTGGAGGAGCAGCGGGTCCACCCTGCACCTGACTGAGACCTGGGCAGGAAGTTAATTCCAGAGCCTAGGAAGTGTCTTCGGGAGCAGACCTAGTTGGTCGCCCTGCCCCTGACAGCAGTGTTTGGTCCACGCTGAAGGGGGAAGTGGTAAAATCCCCCTAATACAGCAACCCCCTGTAATGTGGGGGCCTTTGTCTGTTAGCACCCCCTTGTGGTGAGAGGGGGCACTACATCAGTCTAGGTTTGTCCCTGTCACCACCCCTAATTTGGTGTTTGGCAAGTCCTTGTTATGACTTGGTCAGGTCCTCAGTAGTCTCTGTCCCCTTCAAGATGACAGGGAGTCAGAAGTTCCTTGGCTCTAGAAGGGCTAATCAGTCTAAGATCTCCTAGGTTTAAGACCTTCTCCTCCAAAAGCCCCTGGCTGGAGTAGGTAGGGGAACCCAGGTCCAGCCACTCCACTGGGTTCCTGCTCAGGGCCTGTGTTTGGAATAGCCAGACTCATCCTGCTCACCCCCTTGCTGCTCCCGGAGCTAGCTCCCACCTCTCCTCCTCTGTGGGCTTCCCCAGCCTCTTGTCTGACCTCTTTGGAGCTTGGGTTTGTCTGGCAGCTTCTCACCTGCTGGAGCACTCCTCTCTCTGCATTCTCCCTGCAGCCCTTTTATCCTCATAGCGGCCATGGGGCAGCCAATCCGCTCTGTCAGGCAGTTACTCCAATTCCCTTTGGCCACTGAACCAGCATGGGGTGTATAGACCTCAGGACATGCCCCCAACTTCCTAAGATGTACTGCAGGAAATCCCTTCCTGACCCTGCCTGACAATCAGCTGGTGTCCTGAAGCATGAGGATTGAGAGTCCTGGTTGATTTTGTCCTAGCTAGTGTTGCTGAAGATTCCATCCTTAGTCCTATAAGTGTCTGACCCTCATGGGACTCTCTGGTGCAGTAATATCCTGCAGCAGCCAGTTCCACTGGGCCATTTTACGCTGCATTGTTGAAAAACATTTTCTCATCTGCATGTTGAATATGCCTCATTCTCCATCCTGGGCTTTGGCTGGAGGGCTGGTGATTGTGAAATGGGTCCTGGGAGGTCTAACGTGGTAGAAAATGGAGAAATATGCTCCCCCAGAGAGACAAAGCTGCGGTCAGCTGGCTCAGTGGGAGAGTGCAGTTTTGATCAGGGTGTGAATTTTAACCACACAAAGGAGCTTTTAGGATTATTCTCCTAGTGAACGGGCAGGTCCCCAAGCCCTTTTCCTAAACACGACCCACACACAATAGGGGATTGTCCTAAACTTCAGCCCCCTCCCTGGAGTTTGCCTCTATTCTTAAGTATATCAAGCCTCTAGGAAGGGCTGTACTAACAAAGAGAGAACCTCAGACCAAGCTTCTTCCTGGTGTATGTAGAGTTAATGAGACTGACCTGCTCTGGCTGCCAGGGTGAGTCAGCAGCACAGCTCTGCACCTTCATGCAGGCTTCTACAGCCTGAAAAATGGCCGCACCCCCATCACCAGTGGCATAAGCAGTCAGTTCTCCACCAGGCAACCTGTAGGGGACCCCCAACCATGCAGAGCAGAACTGTCCAGCCCCCATCCTTTACATCCCCTCTGTCTTTCCTTCCTGTCCCCCCCGCCCCTCCCCCCCCCCCCCGCCCAATCCTCGGTGCCGCATGAGAGCCCAGCACTTCTGACCATCTGGCCCCTAATGAGTTTCTTCCTATTGGGATTCCAGGCTGCAGCATGAACGCTGCCTTCACGCTGGGCGCCTGTGTGACACGGACCTCGGCCTGCAGCAGCTCTTTGCCCTCCCTGAAGTCTCCAGCATGGTAAGAGGAGAGGCAGGTGAGGGGGCAAGCCCGGGGGGCTAGAACTGCTCCCCCAGCATCGGGGGGGGGGGGGGAGTAGTCCAGAATGCAGTGGGGCCAGGAGCAGGCCACAAGCCCTATCACAAGTCCTGTCCATGGTAGAAACAACGCAGCGATGCCACCACAGACCAAGTGGCATGATTGACACCTGTTCGTCACATCTATAGCAGCCACCTCTGCTGTTCGCAGCACTGGCCCAGGATCTCGCAGGGAAGAGCAGCAGCTAGGGTTGCCAGGCGTCCAGTTTTCAACTGGAACATCCGGTCGAAAAGGGACCCTGGCGGCGCCGTTCGGCGGTTAAAAGTCTGGTTGGCAGCACAGCGGGAGCCCAGGGCCAAGGCAGGCTCCCTGCCTGCCCTAGGTCTGAGTGGCTCCCAGAACTGGCCGCCAGGTCCTTGCAGCACCTAGGCGCATGGGCGGCCAGGGAGACTCCACGTGCTGCCCCTGCCCCTAGTGCCAGCTCCAAGCTCTCACTGGCCAGGAACTGTGACCAATGGGAGCTGTGGGGGCGGCACCTGCGGGCATGAGGGCAGCGCACGGAGCCTCCCTGGTCGCCCATGGGGCTGCAAGGACCTGGCTGCCACATCCTGGGAGCCGCGGTAAGCGCCACCGGGACCCCACTCCCCAAACCCTGTCCCAGCCCAGAGTCCCCTCCCGCACCTCAACCGCCTGCCGGAGCCCACACCCTGCAGCCCACCACACCCCAACCTCCTGCCCCAGCACGGAGCCCCCTCCTGCACCCCAAACCCCTCAACCCTGACCCCACCCCAGAGCCCCCAGCCGGAGTCCTCACATTTCCCTGCACCCCAACCTCCTGCCACAGCTCGGAGACCCCTCCTGCACCCCAAGTCCCTCATCCCTGGCCCCACCCCAGAGCCTACACCCCCAGCCGGAGCCCTCATCCCCACCTCCTGCACCCCAACCCCCTGCCCCAGCCCAGTGAAAGTGAGTGAGGATGAGGGAGAGCGAGCGATGGAGGGAAGAGGGAGGGAGTGAGCAGGGGGGCGGCCCCAGAGAAGGGGTGGGTGAAGGGGTGGGGCCTCGGGGAAGGGGCGGAGCCTCGACGAAGGGGCGGTGCCGGGGTGTTTAGTTTTATGCGATTAGAAAGTTGGCAACCCTAGCAGCAGCAGGGGGTGGACTTGGAGTCCAGGGATCCTCCCCTCTGCAGCCCTTCAGTGCGGCTCCTTACGTCAACCAGAGGGAGAGTAACAGGGCATTCTGTGTCCCTCCCAAATCCACAGCCCCAGCTCTGCCCCAGACTTGGCTCCCGCAGCCGCACCAGGCTGGTCTGCAGCCAATATAGCAATAGCCCCTGCTCATCCCTAGGGCCCTTCCCTGGAGGAGTTCGGCGCACTTCACAGGCGTTCATTAGCCCCACAGCTCCTGGTGAGGTGGGGCAGTAGCATTAGCCCCGTTTTACAGCTGGGGAAACTGAGGCACAGAGCAGGGGAGTGCTGCACCCAAGGTCACCCAGAGAGTCAGAGGCCGAGCTCAGGACGCCCAGCCCCTGTTCTAACCACTGGACAACTCGGCCTGTACAACACGTGCTCTGAAAGGAGGATAGTTTCCAAGAAGAAGATTTGGGAGTTTCCCCAGCGGCTCTGCGTGGGGCGTTTCCAGCTCACACACATTCAGCGGGGACGGCGCGGGTGCCACTTATCCTGACACTACGGGCACAGGCCCAGTGTCTGTGCTGTGGCCCTTGTCCTGTGAGAGCGGCACGCAGAGCGGTTACAGGTTCCTGCCTCCAGGGCACAGCACAGAGGACTGGGAATGGGAGCCTCTCCCCTCTAAACTGCTGGGAAGCACCCAGGTCAGTAGTGGTTCCCATCATGCCGTTGTCCCTTTGCCATGCGTTGGGTGGGGGGAAGTGGAGAGGTGTCTCCACCCCCAAAACTGCTGAGGAAACCGGCTACACTGGCTGGCAGTCTCTGGCTGGACTGCGTGGGGCTAGCTAGTGCCCCCCTTTCGGCCCCGGTCAGGTTGGGCACAGCAGCAGAGAGCCGGGGGGTAGGTTGCCCTGCAGCTGCCCATGCTGTGCCTGCCCTGGGCACAAACAGACAGCACCTTTCCCCAACGCTCATTTTCAGTGGCAGCCTGGGTTTGCTCTGGGCACTGCTCCACCCTGGCCCGGCCCAGCCCCCCGGGCACATTAGGAGACGAGAAGGCAGCCAGCAATGGCGTGGCACAGCATCAAGCTGTGCTCACGCTGTCCAGCTGGACAACCACTGGGAACCCAACAAAGGCGCAGCCATGGGAGGAGGCTGGCGCTGCCCCCAGCGGCTGCTGCCCGAGGACCAGGCACTAGGTGAGGTGTTTCCTTTTCAGATCCATGCCCTGGTGTCCATGATGGCCAGCGCGGAGGCAGGAGGGAGCCGGAACGCCTGCTTTGCTCTCAGCTGCCTGGCTGCCAACAAGGAGGGGCATGACCACGTGCTGCAGAGCCCTGCCTTCCCCCGGGCTCTGGATACGCTGTGCCGCCTGCTTCGCGCCAAGGAGCAGGAGTCCTCCTGGTTTGCTGCCATGTGGGTGACGCTTCCCCCACACTGTAAGGGGTGCCTGGGAGAGCAGGGTGGAGGGACGTCTGACTCTTCACGTAGAAACGGCAGGGGCAGTACAGAGCTGTGGCACAGAGCTCACAACAGGGCACGGGGAGTGCCTGGAACAGAACTCACCACAGGCACTGGGAGTGCCTGGCACAGAGCTCACAACAGGGCACGGGGAGTGCCTGGCACAGAGCTCACCACAGGCACTGGGAGTGCCTGGCACAGAGCTCACAACAGGGCACGGGGAGTGCCAGGCACAGAGCTCACAACAGGGCACGGGGAGTGCCAGGGCCAGCGCTCACAACAGGACA